GTGGAAGAGATATTAGACTCAAGGCGGCGCCGAAATAAGCTGGAATATCTTGTTCATTGGCGCGGATATGATATTAGTGAACGCACATGGAAGCCATCCAGGAATCTAGGAAATGCATCAGTTAAAGTCAAAGTTTTTCATCAACGACATCCATCAAAACCAAGATGAAAATCTCTCTTATAAAAGAGACAAGATTGAGGCAAGATAACATTCAATTTCCTATCCTTGTTTGTAACTTCTTTGCATTTGTGACACTAATTAGATGGAGAGCCAACAACCAGTGGATTCAACTCAAAAACCTTCGTTTGCTGACCTGCCGGACGAGACATTACGATTGTCACAACCTTCAAGACGACGCAATCGAGATGAAGATCTTCAAGAACGACATGTTCTTCCTCGAACAGATGGTGAGATACAACGCGTTTGGTATCACGATTTGGGAAGGGACTCTCGATGTTTGGTGATTTTGCTAGAGGTAGGAACAACTCCTGATGGTGTTCCGAATATTCTATTCGAAGGAAGTTACGAAGGCCTCAACAATGATCAAATAACTGGGTGGTCTTCCCGCCCTGGTATGGGACACTACCGATGGTTGAAAGGCCCTATCAATCATCTTCGAAGAGAACAGAGATCAGAGTATGTGGCGAATACAATTCGTCGCATCATAGATTTCCTCAACATATGATGACCGCTCCTCGTGGAACTCGTCTCTAGAAGGGGGGGTAATGTCATGGCCATAATCATGTAAGCTAATAATTACATATAGAAATAGGTGGAAGTAAATAAAAGTAGATAAAAGTAAGTTAATTCTATAATATTTAATATAGAAGCTTCCTAGAAACTTCCTAGATGCTGCTTTGACTTCATAGGTGTCTTTAATTGACTTTTTGGATTAGAAACGTGGTCAACAAGTTGGCCATGTTCCACACATGTTGTTAGCTTGAAGATCAAGCTAACTATGTGGCCCACACGTAGAAAAACTTGCCTTGTAAGTCAAGGCATGTGTCTTACAAAGTCAACACATATTAGAGGTCCTATAGAACGTCGCCACGTAGCCCCTAGTTAGATAGTATATATAGAGACAAGAGTGAAGGCTTCTTCACTCTTGTCAACTCCTTTCTTGCTTCTAGTCTAGTTTTAAGGGTCTCTAGTTTTCTTGTCTTTTGGCAATAGCCATTCTAGTTTCTCTTTTCAATATACATACTTATTATTCATATTTTGTTACTTTTCTTTGAGTGAAGGCTTACTTGTCTGAACTATTTTTTCATCGAGTTCTTGTCCTTGACACATTGTTAAGAACTTGATGTAAGATTTTTTTGATTAAAGTGATATACATTAGAAGAAAAGAGAGAGAACACAAAAAAAAAGTAATAGAGAGAGGTGACAAAGTGAAGAGATTTAGATGTAAAAATAATTTCTATATTTGGAAGAAAAAAGATGTTGTGCATTAGCAAAAAGGAAAAAAGTCATGCATTGTACAAAAAAGAAGAAGTTGTGCATTGATAAAGAAGAGAGAAGTTACATATTATTATATGAAACCTCTTCCTACTTTGATAAATAATATTATTTGTTATATATATATATATATATATATATTCAATAAATCATATTAATTAGCAATGATTTTATTATAATTATAAAAATAATAAATTCAAATCTATAATTAATTTTTGATTACTCATCAATTTTAATTTCTATTTTTTATTAGACTTTATTTTATTAGAATAGATAAAAAAAATTATTAGATTTATAAAATTATAAATCTACATTCTTATTTAATTTTTAATTAGGCATTGATAGTAAAATAAATAATTAATTATTCTAATAGAATTATTAAAAAATTAAAATAAATCATATTTCATAATAAATAATTATATATATATATATATATATATATATATATATATATATAATTTAAAACTTTAAACGAATAATAATCAAATATATTTTATTTGTATTAATTTCATGATATAATCTTAATTCTTTTTTTTAATATCAAAATTTTTTACTATAAATACAAGTATTGAGGTACATAAATAATGTGATTATAAAAAATAAAAAGTTTTTATAGCCATTGTTATAAATTTGCTTTCTAAAAACGTATGGGGAGTTTTTTTTTTTTTTTTTAATTTCAAAATTTGATACTTTATTTTTTTATTCTTTATTATCTTACTCAATTTAGTTATTTAATATAATTATTCAAATGTGACTTAGAAATAAGGCATTGTATATGTCACTAATAAAATTATTAATCATTGAAAAAGTTTGAGTGTACTAAGAATGCATATTTTGTTTTAAATTTATGTTATTAGATTAATAAAATTTAAATAATATAATATACATGTATGTATAAAGGCAACTAATAGAATCTAAAACATGAAAATATCAATTTGTTGATTTAAGACATATACATTGCAATATTCTTTCCATGAAAAATAAAAGAATAAATGTAATCGATTAATGAATTTGTATTTTTATTTTTATTTTATTTTTTTTTATAAAAAAATAGATTAGAAAAAAAATTATAATGTTAGCACTTCAAAAGATATAAGAGTGAAAAAATATTAACTTTCATTAAGAATTTTATTTCATGTCTCTATTATTTTAATAATAAATTTCTATAATAAACATCTAAAAGAAAATCAATAACATCAATCTATCTTGGTATTAGAAAAAAATAAATTTTTATGCTAAAGTAATAAATACATCTAGCATTATGCTAAAGTAAATTGGTTAATCAATTTGTAAAAAATTGAAGTTTTTAATTTTAATTTGTTTTGAGTAAATTTGATAATATCTACATACAGTAAATAATAAAAATATCCTGATAACACATGAAGCATAATAATAAAATCAATACGTAATTGACTTTGATAGATATCATCCTTCAAAGTTGCCACTTGTAATAAAGTCACTTGAAAAATTTATTTGTTTCCATCACAATACTGAAACACATGAGTGAAAAGTTATTACCAAAAAAGAAAAAATCTCATTTTTGACTACAATTGTATAAAGTATCCATCAAAAAATCAAAGAATTCATAAAATATTAAAATTTGAAGACTTTGATACACCAAACCAGCTTCTGAAATTAAGGACATTCAACTGCTAATAACATCCTTTTGTAGCTTCATACTACAAGCTAGAATGGTTATTTTTTTAGAAGTCACAAAAAGAAAAAGAAAAAATTGCAATGTTAAATTTAATGATAATATAATAACTCAGGATTTTTTATTTATTTATTTTATTTATTTTTTTAGAAGACTTCACATTATGCTAGACAAGTGTAATAAAATTTTAAATTGTTAAAAAGTAGATCAAATGCATCTTATTTGCCAATTGATGCAATACAGAAGTTAGAATAGTAAAGAGCACAAATCCCAAATCATAAGTAATTTCTATGGAACACGAAAAGACTGATTTTCTCTAGAAGGTCTTGCTACTATATCTTAGCATAAAAAATTGAAAAAATGTTAATTTTATATCTTGCTCTTTTTTTAAAAAAATGTACCCTTTTTTTTCTAAGTTAAAAAATCAAAATTGTTAGAAAGTATTTTAACATCACATGTCATTATAAGCTTTTTTGTATTACAACTAGTTTGTGAGCAATGTTTATTTTTTTTCTAATTCTACAAATTCACCTCAAAATTAGTAGTTTTTAAAATATTGATTTAATTGTTTTGAATGTAATTTACTAAACAATAATTCTTAAAATCTGTCATGTATATCTCAAGTACAAAGCAATAGTTTAGAAAACTATCAACGTAAAGAATATTTTTAATATGTTATTCATTTTTTAAAACTTAATTGATGACACAACCTCATATATTAAACATAAAACGCAATAATTTGTGCATCCACCCATAAAAACAAACAGCCCTGCATTTACATGAAATTTAATACCAAAAAGAATATTAGATAAAATTGTATTTAGTACAGTTTATGAATTGGGTCGACCACTTTTCTTAATCTATTTGAAACACACCATTGATGATTTTAGATGTGTATTATCCAGATTGAATCTTTATTCAACTTGCTTTCAATTACATGTGCAATATATATATATATATATATATATATATGCAAGTTCCCAGTCCATCATAAAATGTTTTTTTCTCAATAGGCAGTGGTTTTATTTTTTGTTTTTGTATTTTTTATTATATCCAGTTGAAAAGGGTTTAAGTACCTTTTCCAGAATCTGAGCAACATATTTTTCTGGTACTGAATGTAGGCGTATGAAAAGATTCGTGAGAGATGTGACGATTGTTACGAATTGTTAAAGATTGGGTGGAAGAATGAGTCGATGCTGATGCTGCAAGGATTTGTGCCAGAGCTTGAGTATGCTCTATTACCCCGTCTCAAACTGGAGAGTTCGGAGCCTGATTCTGCCTAATCTTGCTTCAGCTTGAGCACTTTGTGTGTGTGTGTGTGTGTGTACTTGCTGGTTCTGCCGTGAATGCCACAGCAGCTGCGCTCTTTAATGCACGCAGTCAAACCATTCATCTAAAATCTTTGGTTCTGAGGATTCAGGAAGACCACATTACTATATTTTGTCATACTCCCTCAATTCTTATTGATTATCGCCAAAGTCGGTGATAAGATTCATGTAACTAAAATGAACAAACCAAGCTTCCACGTGCAGCTGTCGATCCTCGAGTAGCACAAAGCTTTCCGCAGTTACAGGGGGAAAGTTCTATTTAGCTAAAGCGACCTGGTGCATTGGGTGAGTGCTGTGCATGTGTACAAACAAACTGTCAGAGAGTGCTGATATGATGTCTGCATTGACATAGCCAGAAAATCTACACAGATCCCAGCAAAGCAATTCGCAGTGGAAAAAGCTTTTAAGGACTGACAACACGCCGACCACATCTTACGTAGGTTTGGGGAAACCATCACCGAGCTCAAGAGCTTTATGTAAATGATTCGACACCTCAGGACACGCCAAGAAAAGTCTCAGATCCTAGATTGTCAACAAAGTGGCAAATCATTAGTACTTGATGCGAGTTCCAGCCTCCGATCATCACCGCTAGCAACTAAACTAGCAGAATTACAACGTGGAGTCGATTAAAAGGTGCGCAAATGTGTTGAGGATGTGCGAACATGCGCTTCGCGTGCGCTACCAACGTGTTGATGCGGCCTGTGGCATAAAGCTAATCGCATAGTTGCGTCTGCCAGGCTGTCCACGTTGCTGTGTTGCTTTCCAACTACGGCTGTAACGTGAGGTGGAGGATTCCTCACCTACTACAATCTCTACTGATAATCAAAATTCGGATATCTGTAGAATTCTTTTAGATACGTTACATGCTGCACCGCCGCAGCCCTGACAGCATTCCGGATGGCCATAATGACGCAGAAGAAGGTATGTTTCAGTCTGTGAAATTGATTCTCTTTCCGCATCATCGCACAGTGAAGTGAGTTGAAATCGGCCCGTTCATTTCGTCAATCTTGAGGGAGCATGACAGTCGTCGTGTGCGTCATGAGTCGAATGCCATTCATTTACGATTAACTCGTCATATTGCAAGAGGCTCATGTCTGTGCGTGTGTTTGCTGTGCGCGTGAGTGTGATTGGCAGGATGATCACTTCAAGGGACTTGTGGTGACCTGGTTGCTGGGTCTCACTTTCCTTTTCCCGTGGAATTCGATACTTACCATTGGCGATTACTATTACGCCTTGTTTCCTGTGAGTCTCCACATTGCTGATGCTTGGAACCTCACAATTGTCTTCTTTTACCTAACTTCTTTAAATCGATTAAACGGCTCTCAATTGGCGAGGGTTAAATTTCTGCAGGACTACCATCCATCCCGAGTGTTCACTCTGCTCTACCAGCTTCTATCGCTCATTGCTACCCTCATCTTCACTTGGTACGAGGCAAATGTCAGCACCCGATTGCGAGTCCTGTTCGGCTATGGCCCATACGCCATCCTGTTGCTACTCTTCATAATAGTAAGTACTGCTCTTCTCCCTCGCCATTCGCACAAGCTGGTACGCCATACTATATTATACAATTTTTTTTCTTTTTCGATTAAACCCTTTAACACATACTCCACATGTTTGAACCTCGCTGTGGGAATTCCTTTGCGTAGATAGATGTTTCAACTTCAGGCCATGGCGGCATTGGACCGTATGTGGGTGTGTGCGTTCTCGTTGCTGGGATCGGAATTGCCGATGGCGTTGCGCAAGGTGCAATCGTTGGTGACCTTTCGTTCATGGACCCAACCTACATTCAAGTGAGCCACTCCCCATCATCATGCATGATCTTCATTGAGGTACAATTAAATTGCAAACATAGTTAGAATGCAAACAGCTCAGAACGGAAATGCTGCCAATGGTTGCAGGCATACTCAGCTGGGCTTGCCATGTCTGGACTCGTGACATCTGGTATGCGGTTCATCACGAAAGCGGCGTTCCGAGACTCGCAGTCCGGTCTTAGAAAAGGCGCTTGTAAGACTTTTCAACCTCATCACAACCCCTCGCACATTATGGATTACGTTGCATGCTACAATCTTGCTGCAGGTTGATGCAAGTCACTCCAAACGCTGACGAAACCTCACCGTCAATGTGAGGACCCAGTGACGTTTTTCGCCATTGCGACCTTCGTAGAGGTGGCGGGCTTCGTCTTATACGCGTTTGTGTTCCCAAAACTCAACACCATCAAGGGATACCGCATCTCGGCGAAAAACCAGGGCGCGCGAACCGTCAAAGACGATCTCGATGCAGCAGGGCTGGAAGCTGATCGCGTAAGCTCCAACATTCCTACAACCCTCAGTCTCTACCCAACGCATAGATGTCGCACGAAGGCTGTAGCAACTCCCTACAGTTGCCAATCTATGACATCGCAACTGGGTGGGGTTCGCAGGACGGCGAGCCTGGCAAGCCGCCGACGCGACTGACAGTGCGGCAGCTGGGAGTACGCATCTGGGACTATCTGATCGGCCAGATCATCCTCTACATGGTGTCGCTGAGCATATTTCCGGGGTTTCTGTATGAAGACACGGGCACCCACGATCTCGGAAGCTGGTACGTCACGCATATCATAAGCCCGTCATGTTGAGCGAGGCCGTGACAGCAGCAGGGAAGGGGAGTGACGCGGTGGGGGAAGTGTCACGCAGGTATGCGCTGGTGCTAGTGGCGATCTACAACGGGGGGGACTTCGCGGGGCGGTACGTGCCGCTGTGGCGAGGGCTCAGTGACCGCGTGGTGCCGTCGCGAGTGGCGCTGCTGACGTTGAGCGCGGCGCGCGTGGCGTTCGTGCCGTTCTTCTATGTGACGGCGAAGCGAGGGGACGCGGGGTGGATGATGGCGCTGTGCGCCCTACTGGGCCTCACCGGGGGCTGGCTCTCCGTCCTCGGTTTCATGCGCGCCCCGCGCGGCTTCTCTGTCCGTCCCCTCCCCTTCTTTCATCCCCCTTCCTCGTTCCTCTCCTTTACTTTTCATCCACTTTTTCCTCTCCTTTTCATTTTGTTGTTGTTGTTGGTGGGTGGGTGTTTTGCAGGGCCCCGAGCAGAATGCCATCGGTAACCTCATGATCCTTGCTCTCATCTTCGGCCTTACGTTAGGTGTTTTATCAGGTTGGCTTTGGCTGATTGGCAAAGGGTGGTAGTTTAATTATTTCCTTGTTGCAACAAACTTACCATTACACTGTTCAACCCACGTGCAATGTAGTTTGATTAGATGTGTTCATAATAACCTAATCTTGTGTAAAATAAATGGTTGTCTTACTCCTCTTTGTTTTCTTTTCTCTTTTGAACCTTTCATATTACATGTAAAGGTATTTTGAAAAATTATAATATTCAAATTCATTTGATTATCTATAATTTTTTTTAGCCATTGGAAATCATTGTATAAAATAGCTTGGGTTTAAGACAAAGAGACAAAAAAACCCTCTTATTGGCCGTGAAGAAGAGAATTGAAGGAGCATGGAGAATGCTGGAGTACATGAGTACATGAATATGGGGCTTTTCAAGACCCGTGGTCTAGAAGAGACCTCTCTTAGAAGCTATGTTAAATTATATATATCTCATGTTGATTTTTGGAACTAAATTTATTATGTATAATGATCTTTGTTTACACAACAGTCCATATATTATTTCTTGTAAAAATAAATCATTGACACATAAGATTATTTGTAAAAAAATCTTGATTTCTATTTTAAAATTAACTTTTTAACAATTTGATTATAATTTGATAATATATATATTTTTTTAAGTGACATAAAACTTGTACATTACAAAAAAATAATTACGATTTTTATAATATTTTGATTGATAGAAGAAATCTTATTTTGCTAATTTTGTCTTATTTATATTTAGATGTTTATTTGTATAAAAATATTTATTCAGTAGGTTGGAAAATCCAACTTTTTAGCAAGATATAAAATAAAAAATTTGCATGTATGCTTTTCAATTTTTTTATATTTTTCTACTATTTCATCCACATTTGATTCCTTCAAAATCAACATTTGAACTATTTAATAAAATTGATCTTATTAGAATAAATTCAAAATATATATCTACACATATGAAAGAAATACAATTTCAAATATTTTTTGTAACTAGTTAGTAGCTATACTAATGAACTAGCAGAATAATACATACATAATTAGAAATACATCTTATAATAATATTGATACAACAATTATACACAACAAAACCAATGTTATAGCAACAAAACTACAAAAACATGTGGCAAATCTAGAAGAAGAAGTTGTCAATCTTTGTCAATAAATGAGCTATAGCTTGAAGACTTCACATAATAAAGACAAATCTAATCTCTTAAAAGAAAAGTTGAAAGAAGTGGTATTAACTATGTCTAATATCCATTTACATTGGCACTAACCACAAAGTAAGATAATAGTAATCTCTTTCTTTTTACCACACACAAATTAAAGGAGACTATTTGGTATGACTATTAATTTAGGATGTACAAAATTATGATTAGAAAGATATTAAGGAATATAATTTTTCAAATGCTTTCATCACTCTTATCTATCTTTATCTTCAAGTAACAAAATATTGTTGGACAAAAAATCCTTTATATAAAAAATTATGTATCTTGTCTTAACATCGAGTATTGTAGGTATCTCATGTTCTGTAAATACATAATTTTCTTTGGAGAATCTCCTTAATTGAGGTTTATAAGTTCTACTATATTAACAACCATATTAAAAAAAAATGATAGTTTTAATCAATAAATAATTTATCCTTATCCATGAGAATGGATTTTTTTAAAAAAATCTACTTGATTATGTAGACATTAAACCTAAATGTTATGAATATCTAGCTCTACAATTAAGAATTAGTTTTCACATACAAAACTTAGTAGAATTGAGTCCAAATTATTCAACTAGTGCGGACTATAAGATGCTAAAGATGCTTGCATGTTAAAGTATTAATATATTGCAATCTATAGCAACATGAAGTTTCAATTTTAATGGTTGCCATAAAACAATCTATACTTTTATAAATCACACTTAAAGATTTGAATAAGTTGTTTAACTAAGCTATCCACCTCAAGATAATTCTTAGATGTAGTATAATATTTTATCAAATCTTTAGTATTAAAAATATCAAAAAATTAAAGGAACTTCTTCCCTTGATTTAATATGATAGATAAAGATGTGAATTGAAACTTGCCCTAACTTAATTGTATACTTCACACCAAAAAACATATGTGGCAATATATTGATACATGTTAGTCTACCAATATTGGTTGCACAACATAAAATATATCATATACATCTCAAAATATCCAAGGTCTTCATGTACTTGCTGTACCAAGGAAACTCTTTGATTTGGCCTTAGAACTATGTATCTACTTCAATAAAACCATAAAAAATTAAGAGATTGTTCTTTCAAAAGAACCTTGCTACTTAGTAATTGATTATATTTATTTTTATGGAAAAGATAGCTAAAAAAAATGTCCCTTGTTGAAGCTTGTATAAGATTGTAATGCCCTCTGATATATTGCTAATTACTTATTTCTATCAGATTCTTTGTTTGAATATTAATCAAGCACCATAAATATAAAGCCTAACATCAAAGTAAAGTATGTTGTTGCATGCCATGTCAAAATTATCTTTCTATTGCAATCTCCATACTATCTAGTTCTAATTAAATCCTCTTTAGAATAATTATACGAAAGTTTGTCTACATTCAAATTAATAATGTTTGTTTAATTCTTTAATAAATAGACAAATTACTATAGTTAAGCAAGATATTATATACATAATTTTTTTCTCCTGAAAAAACTTACAATGATTAATTGGATAATAATGCCAAGTCAAGAAAATTTCTGTGCCTAAATTCTAAAATCCTAGTTGATACTAAGAAGGTTAAGTAAAAAGAAACGCTAAAGGAATAAATTCTCACTAAAATAAATTAGATTATATTTATTTTATATGATTTGGCATCTAAAAAAATAACTACATGATTCTTTGATTCTATCACTTATTTAAAAAGTTGATAAATAATGTATCCTATTCAAATATAATCTTCAAATCAAACTAAATAAATATTTGTATTGCATAATAAAAATTTAAGATAGATTTTACATCACACAAGATATGTTCTATGTGAGTCTTTAATGATGTTTTTAAAGAAAATAATAGTTTATTAGTAGTTATAATCTTTTTAAAGTATTACTTTTAGAATATGCATAATTATTTTAATTTTTTGAATTCAACATATGAACTTCAAGACATCAAAAACTAAAAGTGGTGCTAACATGGTTTTAATATGATACATAAAAATAAAATACATATATAAAAACTAAGCATTTATAATTTTATAATTATAATAGAAGATTTTTTTAAGAAATTAATTAACTTAAGCTGAATATAAACTATGTAGTTATAAATAAAATCATAAAAGACATGAGCCTTAAAAAATTAAAGTAGGATTTATTTATTTATTTATTTATATTTCTATTTCTATTCCTATTGGTTAATTTTAAAAATTATTTAAAATTAAATATAAACAAATTATTCTTTTAAAAAATTAAAAAAATTAAAATATAAATTATGATTATTACTCATGTTAGATTCACTTGAATTTAAAAAGGTTTGAAGATGAAAAATTAAATCAAGATTATTTAAAGTAAATTAATATTTTATTTTAAAAATTCTCTCTCTCTATATATATAAATATATATAATGAATTCTTTATAATTATATTATATTTTTTGTAATTTAAAAATACAATTTCAAAAATTTACTTCAAAATATTAGTTATAGTTGTTTTATCAATTTTTTTATTTATGAAACAAAATACTAGTTACAACTATTTTATCAATTCTTTTATCTATGAATACAAAATATACAAAGGATTTAGAAGAAATAATATTATTTTAAAAGTATTAAAATAAAAGACATATCTATTTATATATCCAAATCTTCTAAACACCATAGTATTACATAGAAATATAAGAAGCCACACTAAAAATATTTCTAAAAACTCCTTTCAATAATATCAAAATAATTGATAAATTATACTTTATGAAAATTATGATCTAACTATTCTTTTTAATAAATTATTAGGTATCTTTTTAAACTTTGATATCATGTCTTTGAAACCAATTATAATACTAATCTAATTTTTATTCAAAATTTAAAAATAAAATAATAAAAAATTATAATAAATAAAAATAATATTATAATTATATATTAATAGTAAATATAATTATTCTTTTAATTGATTTAAAATATATATATTTCTTTTTTTATATATTTATAATTAATATGTTTCATAAAATCATCAAAATAATTATATTCTACTAAAATAGTTTAGATTTTTTTACAAAATTTTTTATACTATGAATATCAATCTAAGACCAAAAAGTCAATTTGAATGTGTTGTAAAATTTGCAACCAAATTAAAAATTTTATTTTAAGAACTATAAAAATTTAAATAATTGAAATATAAAACTAATAAAAACATGAAAATCAAGATGGTGGTTGTTGGTATTTTTTTGTTTGCTTCTTTATAGAAATCAAAGATATCATTGCATAGAGTTATGATTTTATTTTTTAGTTTTTTATTATTCTATTTTTAATATAAATTGATTATTATATGATAAAGTCATAATGTACATAGGTATCAATTTAAAATTAGTCAAAATGAATTGTACCAAAGAAATAAAACAACATAAAGTGATATAAGTTTTAACTTTAAAAAAAGATATTATGAAATCAAAATAAAATAAAAAAATTAATATCTAGATTTTTAATATTTAAAAATATTCAATTAATTATTTTTTTAACAAATATTTTATTTATTTATTTTTTTAAAATTATGATGGTAAAAAATATATCTGTGCTTAACAAAATAATTATAATGACTTATTGCTACATTTATAAAACTTTATGTTGCCTTTAAATCAATATGCAAGACGTTTATAATAATACCATAGTACAAAGATTACAAAAATTTCTATATAACCATGCTTCTTCTATTATTTAAAAAATATATTTTATATTTTTGTATATACTAAATGCTTATAGGACTTAATGAAATTAACGGTGTGTCAAGTACTATAACAAAAATTATGGCACATCCAACTTTCAAAGAAAAGAGAGTCTTGAAGTCTCTTTGTTAGTATTTTTGAAGCTTAAAACTTTTTTAAGTACCACTATTTATCCTACTTTTGTTATGATGCCACTATTAGTTACTAAAGTGGTTTTTATTGACGTATTTTTTTCAAATCTACTTACTATATTATTATACAATAATCTTTACTAATATAATTATTGGCTTAGAAATCTTATTATTGTCATTCAAGGCAGTTACATTTTTTTTTTGTTGCAAGCTTATATTTTTTCTTCAAATTAATTGCTTTGTTGCTTTCTCACTAATAAGAATACATGTTGGTAAAAGAACAAGGTCTTTGATATTTACAAAGGTGATTCATCATGTATCAAAGAAGCAATCATCTTTTATATAGTTTGGCTATGGCTTTGGTAACAATATTGTAGATATAATAATTTTTTTTGTAAGTTTTTATATATAATTATATGTATCAATTTTTTTTTTTTTTTTTTTTTTTTTTTTTTAACAAGCTGTTGTATGTCAAAC